TGGTTAGATTTATTCCTGAGTATTTTATCTTTTTAGGGGCTATTATAAATGGTATTGTTTTGCTGATTTCCTTTTCATCATTCTCTTTATTGGTATATAGGAATCCAACTGATTTTTGTATGTTTATCTTGTATCCTGCTATTCTGCTGAATCTTTATATTAGTTGCAGTAGTTTTCTCATGGAGTGAACACTCTTTCTTGACTGCTGAACAATAGGACTTTATTAATGAATCACGTACAGATCTAGGGACTCATTCTGTCCTATACAATGTGATAGTTTTAATTCTTATATAAGTATAACCACCATAACACTCCCTTCTTAACACTTAGAAAACAAACAAACCCATTGCCAGCGAGTCCAACTCACAGTGACCTTATAGGACAGATCAGAACTGCCTCATAGGGTTTCTAAGGAGCGGCGCTTGGATTGGTACTGCCGACCTTTTGGTTAACAGCCATTGCTCTTAACCACTGTGCTACCAGGGCTCCTACAAGTAAGAATGCCTGAATTCCCCTTTCAGCAAACTATTCAGTGACTTCTTCACTGGTATATATTCCCTTTCCTGGCAAGTTAATAAACTCAATTTTTGTTTATTTGTTTTAATAAAGAAAATAATGACTACTTGTAAGCACAAAAGACACAACAAATAAAAAATTAAACAGAAAAAGTTGGAAATATGTTATTTAAAACTATGACAAATAAGAAGTTAACATTCATTATAAGAGTATCAAGAATTATTATCATTTATGCCTATAGCTGTAGTGTAGAACTGTCAATCTGGGATTAATAATCCTGAGTATTCCTCAGTGAGGACAGCTGAAGTGCCACCAGGTGGTGCTGTTACTACCTGGGAGTAGACTGCTCTTTAATGCAATTGCCCTAATTTTCCATTGTATGGTGTTTTCTTTGTGGATAAATACGAGGGAGGGAAAGGGGGAGTTTTCAAAAATGGTGGAATAAAAATACCGCATTAAATGCTTATTAAACTCCTTCCAAAAATTTTTCCTAGTAATGCTTACCCATTAAAAATCCTAGACAGACAGACTTCTTAAAGGGAAAGATAAATGAATGACTTTAGCTCTAACTAAGGGCTATGGCGGTCATCACAGTTGTGTTTTCACGACTGTGGGAAGCCCTGAATCCATGTGGCAGTAAACTCTTAATGATCCAGTGATCAGCTTTCTAGAATCCTCGATCGTCTCTAAAAACTCTGAAAATAATAATAAAAGAAAAAAAAGTTAGTGAGGAAGCAATTCCTAAGCCCTTGGGTACAGAGGACTGCTTCAGATGCTGCCTGATTCTCTCATGAATCTGTGAGCCCCTTGAGGGCATAGTCTGACTCTTCGTCTTGAAGAACCCTGGCATAAAATAGTGCCTCTGAAGTGCTGAAGGGATGGATAAGCGATCACTTTTCCAGGGGCAAGAAAAGAGTTCACAGCTGGTGATGTTGGCTGCTGCTACTCCTATTCCTGCTACTATTTCATTGATCAAGTGATAACCGTGTTCCAGACAGTACCTGTGAAGCAGATTCGAGCATCCACATTTGATGGAAGCACCTCCCCAACACTCAGAGGGATGAAGGGATTTGCCCAGAGCAAAGTCAGGTCTCTGCAGTGACCACATCTTAACTACAACTTGGTGAGGGAGTTGTGTTAAAGGCCATCCATTTTATGAAAAAGCCAAGAAGTCCACTAGGAGTAAACAGAGAGAGAGAGAGAATAATGCAAACCAGAGATCAGAATGAAAGCAGTGGAGGTGGAAGTCACCTTCACGGTGTCCCCCAACATTGGAGCAGCAATGAGAGAGGTGAGGAGTTGACCCTGAACATGGAGAGTAAGGACATTCCAGACAGAAAAAGGTCTTAAAAGGCTGTGGGCACAAACAGCCTGACACCCCACCAAACCATGAACTTCATGCTTCAGATGTTTGTTCTCTGCTGATGACAAATAACCAAGATGTTTCTGTAGATATGCACAAAACGAATTGGAACTCCCTAAGGGTCTTTGAGATTATGACAAGGAATTTTGGGCAGAATGGTTTATTCATTTTGTTTTCAAAGTTCTGTCTGTTAGGGAGGTTGTATTGAGGAATGCTCAATTAGTTTTAATAAATGAGACATGTTCCAAGCTGACAGCTATGCATTGCTGTGGATAGCTACCATATGTATTTAAAACCCTAAAATAAAGACACACGTGTGGGGTGTGTGTGTGTGTGTGTGTGTGTGTGTGTGTTACAGGATTTCAGGGATTGTACAGATTTCAAGGAAAACAGTTTAGAGTGGACAGTCTGGGATCATATTATCTTGTAATAATACCCAAGAGGAACTGTAACATAGCCCATTGTATTCAACCCCATGCCGTCAAGTCGATTCCAACTCATAGTGACCCTATAGGACAGAGTAGAACTGCCCTCTAGGGTTTCCAAGGAGCAGCTGGTAGATTTGAACCGCCAACCTTTTTGGTTAGCTTCTGAGCTCTTAACTGCTGCACCACCAGGGCTCCATATTCAACTATAGTTCCAGAAAGATATCAAGGCATCAGCATAGTAAAAATAGCTTTAATCTTTTTATTTACTCAGGTTTTGTAGCTTCTAAATGATATTAAGATAGCACAATGTCCATGGAATACAAACCATAGGCTTATTTGGGAAAAATACTCACTGACCTGGATTACTTCCTGGAAACACTCCATAACCACCACCCCTGTCCAGGGAACATAAGTGTCTGCTCTATGCAAAGCTAGCTGAAGGCTTAATAAGAGCAACTACAATAAAATGCCTTTCTACCAGGTCTATTCTTTGATTGTATGAAGTGTTGGTTCCCAAATGTACTCATCGGATTCTACAGAATAAAACAGCCATAACTGGGCAGTTCTACTCTGTCATATGGGGTCTCTATGAGTCAAAATTTGACTTAATGGCACCCAAAAACAACAAGTCTCTCAGAGGGGCCATTGGTAGGTCAGTGGCAGAATTCTCCATGCCGGGAACCCGCGTTTAATTCCCGACCAATGCAACTTATAGGTAGCCACCACTACCCAGTGGAGGCTTGCGGGTTGCTACGAAGCTGAACAGGTTTTAGCAGAGCTTCAGACTAAGACAACTAGGAAGAAAGGCCTGGTGATCTACTCCTGAAAATCAGCCAATGAAAACTCAATGTTCATTGCAGCACTTGTCACAATAGCCAAAAGATGGGAACAACTGAAATGTCCATCAACAAATGGATGGATAAACAAAATGTGGTTGATACACACAGTGGAAACCCTGGTGGCATAGTGGTTAAGAGCTATGGCTGCTAACCAAAAGGTCAGCAGTTCAAAGCCACCAGGTGCTCCTTGGAAACCCTATGAGGCAGTCCTACTCTGTCCTAGAGGGTTGCTATGAGTTGGAATTGACTCGACGGCAACAGGTTTGGTTGTTTTGGTTTATACACACAATGAAATATTACTCAGCCACAAAGAGAAATGAAGTCCTCATGCACGCCACAACGTGGATGAACCTTGAAAACATCACGCTAAAGGAAGTAAGTCAGTTGCAGAAGGACAAATATCGTATGTTTATTTCATTTATATGAAATACACAGAAACCAAAGAGTATTAGTTGTTACCAGGGGTGGGAGGGTAGGGGAAAGGGGAAGTTTTGCTTAGGGCAGGATTGAGTTTTTGTTAATGATTAGGAGAAGGACAGCGAGAATGGATGTATCACTTGAAAAATACAATCAATGTCACTGAATTGTACATGTAGAAATTGTTGTGATGGCGTATGTTTTGTTATATGTTTTCACCACACACACACACAAATTACAGAAACAACCCTGTGGACTACAACAGTCCGATCTTCAAGCTATCATGGGGATGGTGCAGGACCAGCAGTGTTTCCCTCCACTGTGCCACAGGGTTGTTGTGAGCTGGGAGCCGACTGGACAGCAGCTAACAACGACAACAATCTCAGAGAAAGCTGAAACAGCCTGGTAAGTTTTGCCTGTTTAAACGGACTTTGAATGTCACTGCGTATCTTTTTCATTTTCCCAGTAAATATTTATAAATGGGCTCTTGCCTCATGTTCCAGGCAAGGCACTGGGGGCATGGAAAGACGTACAAAAAACACTTCATGCCCTTGGCTGAAGATGGGAGTTCTTCTTGAAATCGTCATTCTTCACACACACACCTACTTAATCTTTAGCATTCCATAGAAAAAGAAATGATCTTCTTTTTTTTCAAAACAAACCTTAATACCCACCAAACTGTCAATAGTAGTAATATCTGAGAACAAGTAGCTAGGATGGGGCTGGGTAGATAAGAGGCCAGATCATACACTTCTGTGTCATTTGAACATGTTAAAATGGGTCTGCACTACTTGTATAAAATTCTTAAACAAAGAAGAAATCAAAAACAGAGTTGGAAAATGGAATACAAGTACAGACATGACAATAAGTGTCCAGAGTAACCCATAAACACAGTAAATCTCAACTCCCTCTTCAGTGTCTACAGTTCTTGGGCTCACATGTAATCAAAATGTCCTGAATGCCAAGTCCACCGGGAGTCCCAGTGTTTTCCACAAAAAGACTTCCTTTCTATTTTCTGTCAGGAGAAGTAGGGCAGGGCACAGGGAGGAAGAACAAATAATTTTGTTTTTGCCCACTGTGGTAGGAGTGACTTCTTGTTCCCTGATCAGCCTGCCCACCTTCCTCATCCCACTTCTCTTCTGGAAACTTTCCTTTGCCTGCCCACTGCTGGGGCAAGTGGTGCATTCTCCCTGGCCCCCTCAATGTCATTTGGGCCCTAAGGCAGTGCAGGGACCTGGCTTAACCCCTGAGTCCAGCTTCAGGAGTCTTTTTCCTCCTTATACATGGGAAAGAGGATGGCTCTGTGTGGAGGATCAAGGGCTTCGTCTTCTGAAGAGAATCCCTTGGGCGGCTTTTTGTTTACTGGTCACTGCCACACATACCCATCCAGAAGGCAATACCTGACTGCAGAGTAACAGTTGAGCACAAAGTGGATGCCGAAAACTATGAGCCAGCAACAGTCTTCTCTTTCAGTTCTGCTACGAAGCCCTTAGCTTGTTTCAAAAACCCGTTGCCGTTGAGTGGATTCCAACTCACAGCGACCCTACAGCTTGCTAAGGGAGGGTTTATAGCCACCTGCTTTGCCAGCCTCTTGCACTCTCTTTGTTTCAGCCCCTAATCCAGCTTCAATCCTTTCTCTTAGCACTTGGTCACTAAAGAAATTTGGTCTCAAGCATCTACTGAGCCCTACTATGTGTCAGGAAGTATTCCCTGCATGATGTAGACGGTGTCTCATTTAATCCTCTTGGTCACTGTTCAGCATAGGGATGACAGTCTTTGGAGGATCTCTCATCTTCAGAACACTTTGACTCTAGTCGAAATGTCACCTCGATTTGCAAATTGTGTATTAAATAAACTTCAATCAATTTCTATTATTGGCTTAATACTTTTTTTTTTTTTTTGGTTTTGTTTTGTTTTAACAGCCCTCACCTCTCAGATACACGGACAACCTTCTCACCCACATGCATCTCAAATAAACCTTCCTAATTCAGGAGGAAAAACACATTTCTGAAGTCCAATCAACATTGCAATTATTCCTTTTGGTCTAACGTCATCAAATTCAAGCATATTCGTGGAAGAAGGGATTTTCCTGTGACAAGCTCTCTGTGATTATCATGGGAAGGGTCCAATAAGTTACTGTAAGGGCACTGAGCCCCTGGAGCCCATCACATTGTTCTTATCTAGCCTCAGGAGCTCTCTCTCAATGACAAACCTCTCGTTTGCTGAACTCCAAAGTCTTAGTCCATGTTCCTCTTCTGCTACTGTTCTATCTTTCTTAATTGCACGCTAAAATGTCTATGGCATTGAGTTGAGTCAAAGAGGAAACCTCATCTACAAAAGTCTGTCCTGTTGGATTGTGAGAATTGGTAGCTGTATGGCTGCCAATTCCATCTCAAAGAGAAAAAACATGATTTAAAAAATCCATTGCCGTCAAGTCGATTCTGACTCATAGAGGCTCTGTGGGACAGAGTAGAACTGCCCCATAGGGTTTAGCCAAGCTCTTAACCACCGCACCACCAGAGCTCCAAACATGATTAGAAGAATTTAAATAAAGCAAAGTTCCTTACCAGAGATTACAAAAAGGAGGGTGAGAAAAGGGAGATGAACGAAGGCTTTCATTTTTGATGCTCTTGCTTGGTATTCCGAGGAGGAAATGGTTTGTCTCCCAACTACCTTTAGTTTTAACTCTCTTTCAGGTACAAAGTCCAGTCATTAACTGATGTCAAACCAGCAAAGGCTGTTAGTAGTTAGGGTGTGGTCGTATACCACAGGTCTCTTCTGAGATGTTGAGACAGAAGAGCTGAATCTGGCTTTAAGGATTATGTTTCTGACTCAAAGTCCACGATAACTCAGGGACTTTCCAAACCTCCTTGTGAGGATGGTGGTGGGCGAGTTCGGTACCACCTTTTAGAAGATCATCATTCCTTTAAACACCCAACTAATAGAATCTGTGGTGGCATAAGCGGTTACCAGTTAACAAGCTCAGCTGCTAATGAAAAGGTTGGAGGTTCAAGTCCATCCAGAAATACCTCAGAAGAAAGGTCTGGTGATCTAATTCCAAAAAATTAGCCATTGAAAACCCTACAGAGCACAGTTTTAGTCTGACATACATGGGATCACCATGAGCCGGAGTTGACTCAATGACAAGTGGTTTGGTTTTTTTTTTTTTTTAATATAGTCTGTGCCTCCCCTGACCTTTTTTAGTACAGGAAATCCACTTCCTCCCCCTGTAGTTCTGAGAATCCCTGAGAAGTGCTTACATGCTTCCCCAAACTGCTTGTCACTTGGTTTTTGTCAGCTTGCACTGTGGACCAGCCACTCTGGGCCTCTCTGAGGGTCACTTCGAGCAACTTGTAATCACATCTCCAAGCTTCCATGGCTGGCCACACACCACTCTACCTGGACACAGCACCCCCCAACCCTCCCCGTTAATGCTCTCAAACACAGTTATCATAAAATTGTAGCATTAAACCTAACTTCACTGAACACATGTGGGTGACCAGTCAAGGAGGGGAACACATGGTACTGAAAAGGAAAAACATAGAACAGTCAATTTGATCTCCTCACTCTTGGGTGTTCTTTGGCTATGTCTCCCACCTCCCAGTTCCCATTCACCATCTTGTTCCTCAGCCCCTGATCTCTCATCGTGTTTCAGGAACCAGCTTTATCACTTGAAGGAGGGTGTTCTTAATCCAGTTCTCCCTCCTTAAAGTCCAGGGCCCCAACTCTCTCTATGTTTAGCCCCAGCCAAAGAAGTAAAAACCAATAACATTTTATTAATTTTGGACAGATTTTTAACTCTGACCATAGTGAAAACAAATTTTTAAAAATGTTTTTACATAGCAGGTTAGCTCCTTATTGTCCCAAAAGTCTCCATTCAAGAATAGGATGTGGGGTTTGCTCTTACATAACTGAGAGGCCCATTTAAATATGTTTCCCAAGCAAAGACACCTCTTTGGCCCACCATATTGTGTTGCGTTATTCTCGAGTTGAATGACTGCTGGCACCAGGCTTTAAACAAAGGCCTTTTAATTTTTTTGAACACTTTATTATGCTTTAGGTGAAGGTTTACAGAGCAAATTAGGTTCCCATTCAATAATTTATATACAAATTGTTCCGTGATATTGGTTGCTGCAGTGTGATGAATTCCTTAGTATGGCCTTTGTTGTCTTGTAACTCCCACCCAGGTGATTGGGCGGGGCTGTGCAAATAAGATACTTGTGGCCCACCAAGGGGATTGGTCAGTTTTACCTTAAAAGAGAGCCAATTCCAGCGCAGAGAGAAGAGCCCACCACCACCAAGGAAGGAGAGACCCATAGGAGATGGCGCAGTGGGCTTTCCGGCCCACAGAGTGAGAAAGCTGAGTGTCTGTGGGCAGAGACTGAGTACTAGGGAGACGCCTACACCTGACCCACAAATTTACGACTTGCCAGCCTCCACAACCATGTGAGGTATTTCTTTTATAAGGTTTGTGAGTTCTGTGAGGTGTTGCAGGGAACTAGGAAACCCAAAGACAGGAGGTAGAGTGCTGAGGCGAGAGGGAGTAGTTGATGTTAGAGATGACAGAGTGGTACAGCATCTTGGAAAAGTTGGACATTTGAGATATCTTTATCCTCCACCTCATAGGAACCAGCTTTGTGCTGATCTTTATAAAAGAAATTATTTATTTAGTTTCAGTTCCTGCAATGTGCCAGCACTCTCTCCATTACCATCCTGAGTTTCCCATTTCCATTTGTGCAGTTTTCCTCCCCCTTTCTGCCTTCTAGTCTTTGCTTTTGGGTAGATGTTGCCCTTTTGGTCTCATATAGATGATTAGTCCGAGGAGCACCCTCCTCATGGGTGCCACTGTTCATCCTATAGATTATCTGGGTGAAAGGTTATCTTCGAGAGTAGCTTTGGTTCCAAGTTAGAAGGGTGTCTATAGAAGGGCCATAGTCTCTGGGGTTCCTCCAGTCTCTATAGGCCCAGCAAGTCTGATCCTTTTAATGAATTTGAGTTTTGTCCTATATTTTTTTTCCCATTCTAACCGGGACCTTTTACTGTGATCCTGTTCAGAGTGGTCAGTAGTAGTAGCTGGGCACCTTCTAGTTCTTCTGGTCTCAGGCTAGTGGAGGCCGTGGTTCCTGTGGTCCACTAGTCCTTTGAACGAATTGTTTCCTTGAGTCTTTGGTTTTCTTCACTCTCCTTTGCTCCAGACAGAAAGAGATCAATAGTTGTATCTTAGATGGCTGCTCACAAGCTTTTAAGACCCCAGACGCTACTCACCAAAGTAGGATGTGGAACATTGTCTTTATGAACTATGCTATGCCAATTGACCTAGATGTCCCCTGTCTTTTTTTTTTAAAAAAATAACTTTATTGAGGTATAATTTATGTCAGTAAGCTGTATCTGTTTGAAGTGTAAAATTCTGTAAGTTTTGATAAACGTATGCACATGTGAAACCATCATTACTACCAAGATACAGAACGTTTCCATCAGATCGAAAGGTTTCCTCAGGCCCCTTTGCAGTCCGTTTCTCCCTCCACCCTCAGCCCCAGGCAACCACTGCTCTGCTTTCTGTCACTAGAGATTAGTTTGGATTTTCTAGAACTGTAAATAAATGAAGCTATACAGTATGTACTCTTTTGTGGCTGGCTTCTCTCCCTAAGCACGATTTTGAAATCCACCCATATTACTGTGTGTATTAGTAGTTCCTTCCTTCTTTCTTTTACAACCTTATTGAGCTATAATTTATGTATAATAAACTGTGCACCTATATATATATACATGTACCCATGAAACAATCATCATAATCAAGATACCAAACATTCTCATCATCCCCAAAAGTTTTCTCAGGCCCATCCTTCCCTCCACCACCCAGTCTAAGGTGACCACTGGTCTGTTTTCTGTCACTATAGTTTGCATTTTCAAGACCTTCATATAAATGGAATCATACAGATTCCATGTACATTTTTTTTTTCCAGTCTGGCTTCTTTTACTCAGTATAATTATTTTGGGATTCATCCATGTTGCTGAGTGTATGAAAAGGCTCTGGAGGACTATTAAAAGCCTAAAACACCAAGATTAAACAACTAGACCCATAGAATTTTTTCTGCCTCTAGAATAAAATGTTATAAGACATTTTAACCGCCCTCACCTGCTTCTCACTAATTCCACCTCTTTAATAGAGGTATATGTATAGTTCT